TGAGATTATGCACTGCAACTTCCTCCGGCTTTGGCTGTTTGGGTACCTTCAGAGGTTCAGCTTCTAGAAACTCTTTGTACTTCTTCTGGCCTGAAACAAGTTCCATATGCCTTTCTGCTTCCATAATGGATCTACTGAGCCTTCTGAGGATCTCTTGCTTAGAGCCAGCCTTTGAGACTCCTAGTTCCTTGCACAACTCTCTCAGGGCCTTGAGGCTGTTCTGCTGATTGTACTCATGACCGTTGAATGTAAAAGACAGTTCTCCTGCAAGTTCATGCCTGTGTGCTGGTGCTTGGGCCTCTGAGGTCTCTTCCTGTTCTTCTTCCTGTTCTGGGATCGTATCCAGTTGGTGAACCTTCTGTTTTGGTCTTCTGGCCTTGGGGTTCACTGGTTCAATGAGTTCGAATACACTCCGTCCTGTCCAGGATAAACCTCCTAGTGGTTCTGGGTCTCTGTGAGGCTCATCCAAAGTCCAGAACTTATCATCCTCAAAGAAATCCTTGTTGATCGGTTCTTCTCCATACGTGTACCTGTCTGGTTTGAGGTTTCCAATGTCTACTGGAATGTCATTGGTATCTCGAGGATTGAACAAAGTCTTCCTCAACGAGTTATGGTACCACGTGAGTGTAGTGCCATCCATGCTGATTGACCATGCATCCTCAGTGTACTCTTCAAACATCTTTCGATCTTCATCTTCCTTGGGGGTGCCTATGAGGTTCAGCGGAAATTCCTTGAGCGATACTAGCGTAAGCGTGCGGTACTCCTTACTGCCATCGAAGATTGTTCCAAACGGTTCCTCAAGTTCCTCAAACATGATGCTGTGATGCAACAGATACCACTGATCATCATCCTCAATAAACACTGCTCGGTATGCGAACTTTCCTGGTGGAAACATCAAGTAAGTATCAACGTGTTCTGAGGTTCCTAGGCTGAAGTGGACTTGGTAAGGGTCTCGCCAGTTGGTCCAACCAACACGCTGTTCTTCAATGAGTTCCTTCAAGTTCTCGCACAAGTACATAGGGATAGGCTTTGCTTCTGCTTCCCAGTTGACTGCTCTCACAAAGGCTTTTGTCGTAAGTGAGTTGTTGTTGTAGTTCACTGCGATCTTGGTTGTTCCTTCTGTTAGGAAAGTGCCTGTTGCTGTTCCATCTCTGAACTCCCAGCCTTTCTTCAACAGTTTACCTACTGCCAAAAGAGGGTGCACAACCGATGAAATCAAAAACACTTCTTCAACCTTCACAACAGTTCCTTGAACATCCTGAAACTCAACTTCAATGATCCTTTGATCTGAAACCTTAATCCGGGATCCTTGTGCATCTCGCAAAACTACCTTGGTAGTGTTGGGTGCCTTTCTCCCATATTTCTTCATCCACATCGGTGCCAACGAAATGTCGGCTCCTGAATCCAGCACGACCTCGATTTCTCGAGCTCTCGCGTTCCTTGCTGCACGCACAAACCTGGTGTTGGTCCTTGAGGCTGCTGTTCTTTCTACTTTGTTCCTTCTAGGAGGATGGTGACATCCGTTCTCACATTCCTGCATGTTTGGGTGCCATGGTGTTTTATGACATCCATTGGGACACTCAAAGTAGTATCCGCGATCCTGAGTTCCTATCGAAGTTCCTTCTAGATGCCATTGCAACCATGCATCATCACTCACCTCATCACAGTCCTGAAACTCATCATCTTCATCACCAATCCAAAACTCTTCTGTCTCACTCCTCTCTTCCTGAACTTCTTCACCAACAACCCGCAAAACTCTTCCGAAGTCCTCAATCTCTATCTCTTCAGAGTTCTCACTCAGCTCGAATTCCTCCGGAAAGCTTGTGGGCTCGTCTCCCATGTGGTACATGGAGACCATCCTAATCACTGGTCTTTGGGTTCCTTGGCTTGCGTGGCTTTGGCTTGTTGAGGTCTTGTTGGCTGACGAAGGGGCCTGAGTTGAAGTAGCTGTAGTGCTTGCTTGTTCGCTCTGGTTTTCAAGGTCAACGTTCCTGGCCTGGTAACCCATGTCACGCATCTTCTGTCTACACTGTGCTTCGAAATGTCCATACTTCTGACAGTAGTGACACACTCCTGTAGCTGCTTGGGCTTTGCCTTTACCTTTTCCTTTGTGTCTGAAGAAACCTTTTCCTCGACCTTTGCCTTTTCCTTTGTAACCTCTGAAACCTCTACCTCGGCCTTTCCAGTTGCCTCGACCTCTACCTTTGCCGAAACCTCCGAAACCTTTACCTTTACCTTTGCCTTTGCTGTCAAAGCCGTAACCTTTTCCAAAGTCCTTTCCACCTTTCTTGCCTTTTCCTTTACCTTTGCCTTTATGGTGAACATAACCTTTGCCATAGCCTTTCTTTCCTTTGTACCATGCTTGGTTGATATCCATTTCTGCAAGACCACCATGGTCATCACCTTTGTCGATCAAGTCTGTTGTGGTTCGGTGAGGTGTTCCTTGATGGGCTGCTAAAGAGTTAGTCCAACGCTCGGTTGACTCATAGTTCACAAGGTACTGACGAAGAGTATTGTACTGTGTCTTCTCATCCATGTTGAGCAACAAGTGCCTTTTCACGTCAGGTTTCATACCTTGAATAAGAGTAGATACTTTCAAATTCTCCTGTACCTTTTCTCCAGTAGCCTTCTCGTACTTCTCGATGTGTTCCTCGTATTCGAGGATATTCTCAGCAATTCCTTTGTTGTGAGCGAATTTGTAGTTGAGAATGTTGTGAAACAACTCCAACGATCTTGCACGATTCGTTGGTTGATATTCCTTGAGTAGCATACGGTAAGCTTCCATACCGTTCTCTTCAGCTACATGCTTTACAACTCGGTACGGCCTTCCTTTAGTGTATGAACAAAGAACACTGTACAGGCGTCTGCTTGCTTCCTTTGCTTCTCCAGACATCTCAGCCATCTTTATTTGCTTATCATCTTTTAAGTTCCTTTCGGCGATGTCCATGATCTTCACCATATTGGAATCCACTGCTCCAAGCCAGATCCGCATCCTGTTCCTGAACTCTGTCCAGCCACTCTTCTCTTCTTGCCATGTTCCTGGGGAAAATGCTTCGGGGCTTCTAATCAGCTTGTGCAACTCCACTTCTCCAGGCTTTCTTTGTTCCTTTACTGCTTTCTCCAGAGATGCTCCTATCTCCTCAAGTGTCGTTGCTGCGTTCGTGTGGGCGTCTGCCAACGCTGTTTGTGATGTCTTCTGTTGTTCCTGAACTGCTGTCAGGGTTTCCTGGAATGCTTGTGTGAGTCCTGCTTCTCTTTGACTTCCTGAAGCTGCTGAGTTCCTGATCTCCTCTGCTAGTGTCTGTATTCCTTGTAAGGTCTGTGCATTGATCTCGGCAAGTGTCTTCAATGCATCCTCCATTCCTTTTGCTGCTTCAAGGTTGCTGTACACTAGTGCTGCTAAAAGTAGTGACTTGCACTGTTTCCTGCTCACTGCTTGTGCTCTCCTTTCTCCTCTTGTATTCCTTTGGTGCTTCGAGCGGTTGCTTGCTCTTGCGAAAAACAAACTAGAATAGTACGACAGGGTGATCCAAGTAATCAGTCCCATTGGGGCTCCTAAGAACACTGCTATGCGAATTCCTTGAAATACAACTCTGTTGGAAATGACTTCCTGAACTATCACATGCACGACGTCGTGAAACTTCTTTCCTACAGTTGCTAGCTTTTCTGCGAAACTATGAACATGTTCCTGTACAAATTTCCTCAGTACTTCTCGCTGTTGTTTTACTAGGTACCTAGGGGCGTAGCCTGACTCAAGGCTCTCACTCTCCTGGTTCTCGGGGTTCTGGTTGCCGTTCCTGTTCTCTTCCGTGTAGTACTCGCCGGTCACGCTAACGACGCTGTAGAGCTCGTTCATCACTTGGTTCACGCACAACAAACCGTACGGTACCATGACCTTTCCTTTCTCCACATAGTCCTTAATCGTGTACGCGTTCGTGTTCCTGATCGTGTTCACGTTGGTGCCGTCGGGGTTCACGCTGCACTCGTTGTAGCCTTGCTGGTAGTACTCGCCGTACACGTCGTAGTTCCTGTAGCGGTTCCGGTGCGTATTGGGCTTCCTTCTGCTCTACCACACTGCCATGAGCTCGCTCTCGTCGCTCTCCACGTAAGTGAGTTCCTTTCTCCCACGGCTCGCATCCCTGGAGGATAAGACGTCTCCAAGGGCAAGTTCTTCCTTGGCCTTCACGTTGTTGCCAAGGGCCTGCCACGGTCTCACCGCCATACTTCTTGCTCCTGGGACCAAGATCATCCCGCACAAAGTTGCGAGGCTTCCCAGTGCGAAACCAACCAGCAGCACCATACATGCTGCCAAACCGTAGCACTTCATGTTCCGTTTCTCTCTCTCTTCCACCAACACTCGGTCGGGGTAGCAATCGCTGCAAGCGTCAAAGTCTCGCGCGTTTCCTGCTGTCACGTTGTGGTTGCGAAGGTGTCCACAACCTCTGCGGTGGTACTTTGTTCATGAACGGACTGCGATCCTGAGCGTGGGCATGTTGAGCACTGTCTCCGTCTTCTTGGTGATCTGCTCATTTGCGCGCATCTGCTTCCATCCGGCAACGAGGCAAACTTCCATGGCGCCGAGCATCATGGTTCCTATGGCTACGAGTAGCATCATCGCTGCCAAGGAGGTTCCTGGAGGCAGCTCCGCTACCATGTTAAAGAACGGGCTTCACTAAGGGTTCCTACCCACAAAGACTGTCGGACACTTTTGTTCCTGGGCACGGTGTGTCCTGGGGTCTCGAGCCTGCACGTCGCGTGTGCGTGACGGCTGTTCCTGTACATTAACTGCACTGCACTACCTGTGTTACTGTTCCTGGCAGAATGTTTAACATGCTCCCCAGTTACCTCTTTTTCCGCAGTTCGTGCCATCTCCACTGCCTGGACAGTCACCTGTCGACCAAGGGAGGACGGGGCCTCGTGCAGGCTCGTGGTTCTCTCGTCTTGGTGATTATATCCAGAGGCGTGTCCTCCGCGGCAACTTCTTCTGAGGCCCATGGCGCATGGCACAACCAGCGCCAGGTGCAGACGATGATGATGGCTTCACCGTCCAGGTCGGAGCATCGTCCTGCCTCAGTATCTAGTGGGTCTGGAGGGATCCCTCAGGAGATGGTGCAGGCCGAAGTGTCGAGACAACTGGATGCGGCTATGAGCGAGGTGATGGCGCGGCTGTCGACAGAGAGGCAAAGGACAGAGCAGGCTACGATGGAAGCTCAGCGACTACGGGCGCAATTGGAACGATATGAGTTGCGGATGCAAGAGCCAGTGAGAGAGAATGCTGCAGTGCCAGCGGGCTTGGGGCTTGATGGCCATGGAGTTCACACCAGAGTTCCCCTGCAACCTCCTCTACTTGGTCCTATGAGCTCTACTACAATTCAAGAGCTGCTACCTGGTCCCGCAACCTCTACTACAATCCAAGAGCTTCAACCTGGTCCCACGAGTTCTACTACGATTCAAGAGCTTCTACCTGGTCCTGTGAGCTCTACTACACTACAGGAGCTTTTACCTCCTCCACCGGTGTCTACTACAATCCAGGAGCTTCTACCAGGTCCAGAGAGATCTACTACAATGCAAGGCCTACAGCAAGGTCGTTCGGAAGGACGGGCATCAGATCCTTTTGGGGTGGAGCATGGCGATTGGTTCCGGGTTCCAGAGGGTTTAGATCCCAATGTTAGTGGCCGTGGAGTTCACACCAGAGTTCCCGTGCAACCTCCTCTACCTGGTCCTGTTAGTTCGTCAGGCAGAGCAAAGTCAAGGTCACAATCCCCAGGACCGCGTGCGTTCTTCCAGGGTCTCTTCAATCGGGGGAATCGTGATGAGCAAGTTCCGGTCTCAGGTCCTGGCCCGAGTTCGGTGGGCCCTCAGGTTCATCCAGATCGTCCTCGACCACCAGTACTACCTCCTCTGCAACCGCCGATCGCTCCTCCCGATGGGGCTAAGGCGCCGGGGTCTGTTGGAGGCAGTCTACTTGCTACCCTTGCTCGAGGCATTGAGTCGTTACTTCATCAACAACAAGTTCAGGCTACAAGAGGTGACAGACCAGAAACAGTCAAGCCTGGAGTATCACAGCTCCCTGAGCTTCCGGAGTACCAGCCAAGCGCGGGGTCGATAGACCTTCTGAACTGGGTCACGCATATTGGACCTTTGATGGAGGACCTCTCCGACACGTCGTCAACATGGTGGCAGATGACTCTGAAGGATGCTTTGACATGGTACTCACAGTATAGCGCGGCTCCGCCACTGGAGCGGCTTCAGCTGAAGCCAAAGGCGTCTGTGCAGCTGCAGAAACCGGAGTGGATCCGGGTAGAAAGGAGGGCTACGGCGATGATGTTGTCCGCTGTGCCAAAACAGGTGCGAGAAGAAGTGATATCAGGGGGAGAAGTCACCAGCCTCCACCTTTTGTGCAAGCTCTACTCTGTGTACCAGCCCGGGAACTTGCAGGAGAAGAGCTTGGTTCTACGGATGCTGGAGCAACCAGATGAATGCGCCTCCGCGTTGGAGGCCGTCGAGTCACTTCGACGATGGAACCTGTGGAGGCGGAGGGCGGCTTCGATTGGGATGGCGGAACCGGACGCCTCTGTCCTTTTGAGAGGATTGGACAGAATAACTGGCCAGATCGTGAAGGCCAACAGCGAGCTGTCCTTTCGGGTGAGTTTGATTCGGAGCACCCTTCAGGTGGATGTGAGTCCGAGCGCAGCATCAATCACCACGTTCTTGCAGCACCTTCAGGCCGAGATGGAGCAGCAAGCCAGGCTGAGCTCAGTCCGGGTTGATACAACGGCCGCAGTCCGCGCGGTGACGACCACTGGTGTTCCACCCCCTCCGCCTACGGCTCCCACGACTACTACGACGACCAAAGGTGCAGGTTCGCTGTGTAAGTTCTTTGCGTCAGAGAAAGGGTGCCGTCGAGGGAATACATGCCGATTTCCTCACACTTGGGCCTTGCTTGAGAAGGGTGCCAGACAGAAGAAGTGTTTGTGCTGTGGGTCAACGGCTCACAAAGTTAAGGAATGCCGAGCACCTGGTGGTGGACAGTCGAGTTCGAGATCCCCCACCTCTACGAGAACCCAAAATGCAGGTGCTGCGGAGCAGGGTGTTTCCTCCCCAACGGCGTCTTCACAAGAGGCCCCTCCTCGGAAGGTTAACTTTGAGGGTGATGGCGCGATCCAGGCGAAGGTGATGAAGGTTCTTGCCGGCTTGCAGGACATCCCGCTCTTCAGGAAGGTGATATCGCGGCTGAAGGGCTGGAGTAATTCTGATTCTGCTCCATCCCCGAGGACGCGATCTGCGCTCTTAGATTCGGGAGCGACTCATGTACTACGAGGCCCAAAGTCCGAGGAGGAGTGGGATCGTGCGAGAAGTGTGCATGTTCAGCTTGCAGGGGACTCCTATGCATCAATGAAGCAGAACGACGCGGGTTCCTTGTTGAATGGTGACCAGCTTGCACAGGTGATCGTCCCGATGGGAAGGGTTATCTCAACACTGGGTTTTTCGCTCAAGTGGACTAAGGAGCTCTGCCAGCTTGAAGGTCCCGACGGTGAGGTTGTTCAATTGGATGTGGTGCGGGGGTGCCCGCAAGTGAGTGAAACGGTGGCCCAGGATTTGATTGCGCACCTTGAAGAAGCGCACCTCCCGGAGCTACAACAGACCACAGCTGCGTCGGTGAAGGCCTTGAAGGCAGTAAAGGCCAGCTGGTGGTCATGCTTGATGGAGTACTCGGTTTCTGGGAATGTGGCGTCAGGCCAGGCGGCGATTGACAAGTCAACGTTCATGAACCACCGCGATATGATGAAGGAGCTCCTGGTGATCACACGGCCAAGGAAGAGACCTTGGGACTTGATGAAGGAGCTGAGCTTGAATCGGCGCTCCCGAAAGCGTCTCATGAACTCAGCGTCCTGGGTGGTCCGATGGGATGCGCCTACTGTGGAGAGGCGACGAAATGATTTGAAGCAGCTGTCTTTGGCAGGAGACACCATCTACTTGAATGTGAACACCTTGCTTGTTGAGAGTGAGTTTGTGGATGTGTGGAGGATTTTATCATGGGCAGCTTCGGTTGGAAAGATAGGGACAGTGGTCTCCCGAGACAGCCCCGGCAACCACCTGGATCAGAGCATCGCGCCCCAGCATCGGAGCAAGATCCACTTCCTCCATGCTTTGTCTACTGCCGGGCGAACTGTGCATGGACAAGGTCCCGTGCGACTTATGGTTGAGGATCTACATAGGAGAGTGAGCCCGGAAGGCAAGGCGCATGCAGAAGTTTGGCCGGCGTGGTCGTGTTGCCGTGATGCTCAGGACTACATGACTGAGATGGGCATCATGGACATCTCGGTTGAGAAGTTCACGGGCGAGAGACACTTCAGGATTGCAAAGATGGACGCAGATGCAGCTTGGCGCCTGCATGTAATGCGGGGCCATCAGCCCTTTCGCCGCGACTGCGCGGTGTGTGTTCGCAACAGTGCTTCGGGCAAACAGCATAGGGCCACGATGCACCCCATGGCATACACGTTGAGCGTGGATGTGGTGGGCCCACTGAAGGGCTATGGGAAGTCTCCAGATGGAAAGTATTTCAAGTACTTTGTCATTGGGGCGTTCAGGATCCCCGATGTTCATGGAGGCCACGGTCACGCAGATGTGAAAGGACATCCAATACCCCCTCCTGACTTGGAGGAACCTGAAGATGATGAAGAAGATCAGTTGTCCGAGGACGAGGTCGCTGATGATGAAGGGCCGGTGGAAGCGGACTATGTGGACGCATCTCAGGTGGAGCGTGAGAAGGAGCAGTGGAGGCAGCTGCTTACCACGTTCAAGGAGCCGATATCTACTACGACCCTTTATTTTGCGGTTCCCGTGAACAACAAGAAGGCTGCCACAATGCTGCCGGCAGTCCAGAAGATTGTCATGGATGTGAAGGCCCTGGGATATCCGGTTACCCGCCTGCATTCAGATCGTGGCGGTGAGTTCCGAGGGCACTTGGTTCGACGATGGGCCCTGTCACAGGGCATGTGGCCAACTACGACATCGGGGTCGGAGTCGGCATCGAATGGCGTGGCCGAGTCTGGGGTTCGGTACCTCAAGCGTCGCGCCCGGATCCTCCTTGATAGCGGAGGGATTCCAAAAGAGAACTGGCCCACGGCGGTCCAGTATGCAGCTGCTCAACAACGATGTGATCAACTTAACTTGGGGTGTTATCGCCCCTCCCTGTTGCCTACGGAACCAAGGTTTACGTGAAGACCAAGAAGTACAAGACTGGAGCCGTGGAGGACTTTGGTCACCATTGGGTACAGGGCAAATATGTGGGTCCGTCAACGGACATTCGGGGAGGACATGTTATCCTGAAGTCCTCCGGCACGTTTGTGCAAACCACTCATGTGAGGATCGCTCAAGAGCCGCCTCCGTTGGACGAGGTAGCGCCGCCCATTGTTCTTGTTGAGGAACCTCGTTTGGATGCTGAGGGAGATAGCGAACCTCCTTTACCACCACCTGCTCGACCACCACCAGCAACCAGACTTCGTGCAAAGACCCCCAGTGTGGCTGCGCTTGGAGAGGTCTATGAGTCCGTCGTTGGGTTGTCTGAGGCCCGCGGTTTGATGCGGGATGATTCGATCATGAAGTACTTGAGGGTTGAGGAGATTGAGTATGTGGAGAAGATTGCCCAGCACTTGTACCAGGACCGGAAGTTTGGTGAAGATCATGTTAAGCAGGTCCTTGGTGTCCTTGGTGGAACTTGTGGCAATTTGAAGGTTCCTCGTGCTCCTGGAGGTCAAGGACTTGTGATTGGAGCATATGTTCATGGAGGATCGTTCGGAGTGACTCGATATGGGCGTGATCTGCCTTGGGTTGCTCAGTACTTGAATGGGTATTTGGTCCACAAGATCAATGAGTACGGAGTGGCTGTGAACCCTACGTGGACAACCTTGGCTGTTCAGGCTGCCGACCAAATTCCTCGGCATCGGGATGTACACAACGAGCGAGGTACCTACAACTACGTGTGTGAAGTCAAGGCGGAACCTACGAATGGTTTGTGGGTCGAAGACAAGGGCTATGAACGCAGAGTTGTAGGTGGTGAGAATCCTCGAGATTGCCAACTTGAAGGTCAGGATGGTGATGTACGTGATGGTTGTTTGGTTGACATCACCCAGAAGCCAGCAGTGTTTGATCCGCTGATTCCCCATGCCTACGTCAAGGGAGATGGCTTGCGCTGGTTTATCTCGGCCTATACCCCCCAAGGTGCCTACAAGTTGAAGTGCAGTGATCAAGAGTATCTCCAGAAGTTGAAGTTTCCTCTGCCTGAGGAGGAGAGCCGCCTTGGAGGCGGAACGCCGGAAACCACACCGGCATTGAAGGCATCATCCTTGCCATCTGCTATGTCGAGTGGAACTCACAGTTGCGAAGATGATGTGGATGACGTTTTCATTGGAGATTGTGAGGGCACGCTGTGGGATTGGGCCATGTATGTTGAGGAGGAGCTACCTGCTAAAGTGGATGGTGATGATCAGTCGGATCAAGTTTGGGGTTTGCGTAAAGTTTGCGGCTCTGATGACCCCGCGGGTGAGCTTCCAGCTTTGGTCAAGGCCTCGGATGTGTTGCTTGAGGAGGAGATATCGGAATCTCTTCAAGATGATCTGGTTGGAAGGCTGGAATACTCGTGTGGTCTTGATGTTCGGGAGGGATTTCCTTGTATGGCAAAGATGGAACCTGAGCACACCGAGGGTGTTGAAGATATCATCAAGAAAGCGGTTCAAGCTGGGACCCCCCTCCGCCACACTTACAATGTGAGCCCCAAGGAGGCCAGATCTGAGATTGAGCGCTGGAGGCCAGCCATCGCGAAGGAAGTTGGAGTTGTTGAAAAGGGGTTCCAAAGAATCCATGTGAAGGACATCGAGAAGCTGAGAGCTGAGCACGACATCCAGGAGCTGCCGTCCAAGCTTGTGTATACCGTGAAACCGCCATCGACTACAACCTCCTCGGACTCTGCGATGAGTCCAACTTTTGCAGACGTAAAGCCCGCATTGTGTGTTGCGGCAACTTCGCCTCTGATGAGGCTGGAGACATCTTCGCCGGCGGCGCGGCCGCAGAAAGCCTCCGATGTGCCCTTACCTACACCACTGCCAGGCATTGGATCCCGGGCATCGTGGACGTGACAGGAGCATTTATGCTCACTCCTTTGCCTCAGGGAAAGGGGGTAGTCAGGTACATCATACGACCACCAGCTGCGTTGGTCCAGCTGGGATTAGCTACCGAGTCGGAACGGTGGCTACTGACTCATGGGATGTACGGCCTACGCCAATCACCTCGGCTTTGGCAAGAGTACCGCGATTCTGAGCTCAAGCAGTTGAGGTTTGATCATGAAGGGCGAACATGGTCCCTGCAGCAAGGTCGAGCCGAACCCAACCTGTGGATGATCTATGAAGTTGGATGCCCGGATGATCAGCCCTCTGGAGGCCTTATTTTGGTCTACGTTGATGACATCATGCTGGCTGGACCCCGCTCTTTGATTGAATCCCTGGCGTCTACCATTGGGCGGATTTGGAAGGTGTCAGAGCTGGATGTTCTGTCAGTGGATCGGGATATTCGGTTTCTTGGTTGTGAGATTTCCACCAATGAGAGCATGGACTGCATCTACATCCACCAGCGACCCTACATCAACGAGATCCTCCGTCACCATGATATCCCCTCTCAATCATTGTCTTTCATCCAGGCACCGAGGGAGATGGTGACATTTGAGCCGTATGAAGGTGAAGATCGCGGAACCGACCAGCAGATCAAGGAGGCCCAAAGACTATGCGGTGAATTGTTATGGTTGGCTCAGCGCTCGCGACCAGATGTTGCCTACGTTGTCAGCGCTATGGGTTCCCTCCTAAGCAAGGCTGCTCCGAGGTGCATTGCCATAGGGCTTCGACTCTTGTCGTATTTGCAGCAGACTCGTGATATGGATGGCATTGACTTTGAGATCGGTGTCAGAAGAGCTGGTGGCATATTCCGACAGCTCATTTGCTCCAAGCGGAGCCCGGAGCTTCTCAGGGATTGTCCTGAGTTGGAGAGGCTCCCCCATCACGTGGAGGGCGGCGAAACAGCCGTTCGTGTGTCTGAGCACGGCAGAATGCGAGCTGGTGGCTTCCATTGAGGCTTTGACGATGGCAAAGTCCCTACAGGCAATCTTGCACCAGATTGACCCCGCGAGGCCAACGCTGACCTTGGGGATCGATAACCAGGCGGCGATTGCGATTGCCTCTCCGGCTACTACGGCCTCGTGGCGTACGAGACACCTCCGTGTACGAGCGGCCTACCTGCATGAACAGATCGAGGAGAAGTTGATAACCCTCCGGCCAGCACGGGCCCAACGTATCCTAATTAAAAGGCATTCAGCAAACAAGAGTCATTGAGCCCAACGTATCTTATTTGGTCCATTTTTACCTGAGTATACTGCCATGAAAAAGTTGACCTTCAGTAGGATCAGCGCCGGAATTCTCTGACAGCTGTTTACATCCGCATGAAAAGTTTCGATCCGGATCGCAAAACAACAGAGAACTGGTGGAACCGGGTCCACACTTGTTGCGGGGCATGCATATATCAGTTCGAAAATGCAGCACCTGTATCAGTCTCTGTTCAGAATTTCCGCTACCAATGATATTCCCCAGCGGGATGTGTCCAGAACCCACCACATAGTGGTTCGAGAGCGACAGAGCGATCTCGAAAGTGCCCATGCAGGCAAACCAGGAGCCAAAAAAAATGAAACATGAAAGCGGGATGTGTCCAGAACCCACCACATAGTGGTTCGAGAGCGACAGAGCGATCTCGAAAGTGCCCATGCAGGCAAACCAGGAGCCAAAAAAAATGAAACATGAAACATGGCCATGCCGCACATATATGCAATGTGTATATATATATATATACACATATATAGTGTTAACACACACACACACACACACACAAACACACCAACGACGACGACACCGGTTTCTCGGGCTTCGAGCTGTTCGTGTTTTCAAGGGTTTCGACTCGCACACTGGCTCTACAGGGAGGCACGGCTTCAGAAGGTCTCGTTGCGGCTGTTACTACCGTCACGGTTTAGGGTCAAGGGTTTTAGGGTGCTTCGGCTGCAGCTGGGGCTTCCACCCCTCGATCGGACTGATTTTTTCTACTCCAGGTCCGCCCAGCTCATGGTCCTCTGCATAGCCCATTTGAACATGACGTGTTTTGCCAAAAAAGCAGGATGGGTGTTTAATCCTGCGAATATGGTCTTCTTGGAGATAATTGTGCAGATACCTCCCGTTCTGCGGCGATGCGTCGAGCACCAAGTGCTCGACGTAATGATTTTTTGGCCGCAGGGGCCACCTACAAAGCGAAGCCGAAAGAGCCCATTGAGCAAGCTTGTTGTAGCCAGATCTGTAAATAATGTATGCTCTTCGAAGGTCGCGGTCCGCATCCTCTTTAAGAATTCTGCCAGATCGAAGGAGGATGCTTTCCATGGTAGCAAGGGCTATACAGACCCCACCTCGGAGCCTTGGATTTGGATGCTCTCCGTTGCAATTCGAGCTATAGGGTCTAAACCCTATACCCTAAACCCTTATAAGAAGCAGATGTATGTTTCGGAAAACCTGCAATATAGCCGAGGATCGCATAGAACTCGTTTCCCGGATGGCATTTCATCAAGTGGGTAAGAAGCTGAGCCATCCAGAATATACTGTACCGTGCGGCCGTCCCCGATAAAAGTTTCTGGGAAAGACTCAGATAATCTTTTGAGTTCGGGTGAAGAGTTGCACTGCTGAAGAGCCTCTTTGCAGCACGGTCCGGCACTCCGGTTTCCTCGCACCAGGAGCGATAGCTCTCGTACAGAGCTTGCAGCTCGGCTTCCCTTTTCGGTGCCAAATCGCTGAGGTCGCACAGCAAGGAGCCCAAGACATCTGGCACAATGGCCAAATGTAAAAGGTGCATTATGTCCGGCCACACACCTGGACCAGCTGTATATATATGTAGGCTTGAAAACTTTATTGTAAACCCTGGACCCTGTAAAATGATTCTGAAATTGTTGTCCAAGCTTCGCCACGGCGTGAATGCTGGTATCTGGGTGAGGGGGCTCGCAGAATGGATTTGCTGGAATTCCGCAGCATCTCGCACCAACCTATACTGACTATGGTTGATTATTGAAGGTTTTGCAGGTTTATATATGGGGTTTCGGATTTAGGGTTTAGGCTGTCACACAATCGGTGTGGCAATGGATGCTAAATCGTAGCGAGAAACGTCTGCCGATGTGCTGCCTCCTCACCGAAGTTGCTGTAGAGGAGGCTCGGATCATTAGGCAATCCATCGGGATCGCCATGGCGATAAACCCATTGTAGAGCACCACAGAGAAAACAACATTGTTTTCTCGTATAATCATCTTGGATTATTTGCCGGTATGCATACAGTAACATGTGTACGATACATCCACAAGGAAATGCGATCGAGCTGCGTTGCGAAACAAAATTTTCTTGATGAATTCGAGGTCCGCCTGTATGCCGTCGAACACTCCAAATGATGCTCCATGGCTCGCCAATGGTTGGCCTGCCCAACGGTATCGGGCAGGCTCGTACGTGTTGGAGAACTCACATCCCCATGGGTCAGACCATGGAAAAACTCCATCACCTTGCATCGGAACGTGTGTTTATGTTCTTTGCATGCGACATACATGCTTTCCGACATATATCGTTGTCTTTATATAGTGCTGCCAAAGCTGCTCAGTGCCTTCATGGACCAAGAGATCACATCAAGAATTTTCCGGCGAGAGGCGTCGTTGTGGTAGCACATGTTGATGCATGACAGCCTGCAGTCCAAGGCGGGTCGCCAGCATGTAAAAATGCATATCGCCACTAGCTCATGTTATACATGTAAAGATTGTGGCAGTTTCTGCCGGGCTGCAAGAATCTGCCATTTGTCGTGCTCGAAGAATTCGCGGCCAGCGGTGCCAATAACAAGAACATCTCGAACTTCTGCTTTTCTTAGCTTCGGGCAGCATTGCACATACCGCAGGTCTTAGGACTAAAACGTATTCCAATTTGTGTGCGACTGTGCTACTCGTGAACTCGGCACCATCGCCGTAGATTCGCAGCGGAACACATTGCTCCGGATCCCAAACCTAAGCTACAACATCGTCCTGAATTCTACACTTGTTCGATGCATACATACTCAAGATGCAGCTGTGCAGCGTTTTCTTGGACCCACTTTTGGTCCGGCTGCTCTGACCAGTATTCTCGAACCTTGGATTGCCAACAGAAGCAAACACATCAGTGTTCCCAATTTTAAAGGCAACACGAGTAACATGCCAGAACCAAGCAGCTTGTTCCAGAGATTCGTACAGCTGGTGTGAGTTCCCCGATGCGTGCAGGAATGAAACAATCTCGTGCGGCAGCATCATATGATGATTCACAGCCCTCGTTCGAGGGCCGTGTGCATCATCGTACACTGCGGTGAGCTCGAACCTCGGCTGGAAACTACATTTCTGTTGGGTTGCAATATTCCAAACCAGCCTCACAGGATTCAACAGACCGACAAATTCTCTGATAAGGCTGCAGTTTGGAAACCTGAAGGATGGTGGAAGTGCATGTCGCCATGGTTGTCGGTCCACCCACCTCTCGAGCAATCTCATACGGCCCCATGAGCCGCCAGATGTCTGTGAACGGAATGCAGTAGCCAGGCCCAACAAGTCTTTCCTCCGGGATAGATGAATCAATGCTATATGGATCGAATCACATCCCCCCGTTTGCAATGCAGCACTGACACCTCAACAGAGCATGAGGTAGATTGTAGAGTCGCTCCAGAGAGACGGCCAGCTCAGACAAAGGCGCCTTCAGGGTTAGTTGGTTTCCATCGTGGTCTAAACAATTGCATCCTCAATTCAGTTGGCAACCTGGCCTGTCCCTGAGATAGAAGCCTCAAATTCTGTTCAGTTGTCTCTTGGACATAGCGGTGAATAGCATCGGAGCCGATCGACTCCGAGGTTGACATCTTGAATCCTTCTCTCCTGGGCTGTTCTCGGATGCACTTCACTAACCAAGAAAACACAAGGTTCGAATGCTTCGTGAGAGGGGCTCGGCGGCATATCATATGATCGCGAGGTCTCGATCCTTGGCTGTTCTCTGGAGCACTGATAAGCACTGACATGGTTTGGTGGTTTGTAGGGTTTACGATTGTTACTACCGAAGAACACTACAAAAAAACTAAACATGTAGTCAAGCAAAGGTCCAGTCTCGGACATGTATGAAGCATATCATCCGGCCAGCATCGAATCATGATCGCGGCGAAGGCTTCACATCAAAGGTTTATGGAACAGGCCATGAGGAAGCAACAACTGCGGTTGTGCCTGAGGTTTACCTTGAAGCTTGGACCCCTAAACCCTAGAAACCTAAACCCTATAAGCCCGATAACCTCTGACAGTTTGTGTTCTAGGGTTCCTGTCGACATAAAGTCTACGGCACCAGTTATTGGGTTGTATACACCGACACCTTACGAACCCCTAAACCCTAAACCCTGTACCTTTTGATTCTTTTGACACATATTTTTAGAATCTAAATTTAGGGCTCCGAAGCCACTGGGTATGGATCAAGTATAGGCACCACAGACCAGCTGATCAAGCTGAGGAACGGCATTCAATCATCGCTGGGATTCTGGTATGCGGCGTGATGAATCGAACTCCAAGGCAACTTGTTCAGGATTGCGGATTGCATGTTTTCTCATCAGTTCAGAAGAAAGTTCTGCAGAAGCAAAACACAGTTGCCATGCCCTTGGCATGACCACGTGCAGCCAGTGTCGAGTGCTTTGCCCAGAAAGCATGCGTGAAGTTCGAAAGCAGCCTGCATGCGTGTACAACAGTGTATATACAATACACATGCACTCCAACACTGCTGCTCCCCTGGCCCCTATGCTTGCATCCAGCCACTCATTTACCTGCGTTTTGCAGGCGGCTCAGGATCCTCCTCCGGCCATTCTTCTTCTGCGGCGGCTTCGGCGGCACTTTCATTTTTTTCATCTGCATCATATCCATCATCCCTGTCGTCATCATCATGCTTTTGCTTTTCTTTCTTCTCTTCTTTTTCCCTTTTTCTCTTTTCCGTAGCCAGGCCCGCGAGGTCAGGTTAAGGTTGAGGTTTTAGGGGCAGGGTTTAGGGTTTTAGGGTTTAGAGTTTTAGGGTTTAGGTTTCAGGAATTCAGTTTTCAGGGCATCAAGCCAAGGTACGTCTCTTGTGCGAATCCACAATGTCCTCGCCGTTGGTGATCTTCTTCTGGCATTCCTGGACGAAATTTATAAGGCTGGTACTTCGGGTGTTTCTAGTGCTAAAATTCAGATGGAGAGATCGAGGCAGCCTCCAGCTCCACTTTGTATCCATCGAGTATTTCATAGCATTCGTTCACCGGCTTGCACGAGAACACCATCTGCTGAATCCTGGGATGTAGCTTGGGTCGGGTTCAGGGTTTACAAATGGGTTCAGCATCGATGAGGATTTATAAGGCTTGTGGTTTTGGAACGTGATGCATGCCGAGCCACTCATTGTAGATCTTGGTGCACGTCGTGTTGACTTTCCCCAAGCTTTCCACCATTTTCTGTGCAGGGTTCAGGGTTCAGGGTTAAGGGTTCAGGGTTCAGGCTTAAGGTTTTTTCATGTTTTGGGTTTCGGGTTTAGGGTGTGCCTCTTGGTGGAGAATCCCACAGGAGCTGATCTCCGATGCGATGTGCACAGCTTTGTCGGCCATATTACGAATCCTCGGCTGCAAAGGATTAACCTATAGCCCATTAAATGTTTCTACTACAAATAGATTCAGGCAAGATGCCCCAGGTGATCCTTTTGGAAATCCTTCTTCAGTTTCTCGTCGGCTGTCAGTTCCTGGGGAAGTAGGAGTGTTCAGGGCTTAGGGTTTAGGGTCTAGGGTTTCGGGCTTAGGCTTAGCTAGACTCTTTTGTTGCAATCGCACACACATCTCGATCCTTCTTCGACTTCGCTTTGTTCCCTGCTTTCTTTGACTCGGCCGTGCCAGTCTTCATCCCGGCGATCTTCTTCTCTAGCGTGTCTGCGAGAGCTTGCCGCTCCTGTCGGTTCTGCGAAGGCTGGACCTTGGCCCGCGTTTTGGAACCCACTCTGGAGATGTTCGAACCTTGGATTGCATGGAGGACAACAACATCACACAGCTACCGAGATATGCAAAGGAACTGCAGCCGGGATTCTCAGGTGGTCCGTGCACTTATAGACCTTGTACAATTTCCAAAGGTCATCTGAGAACTGGGGGTGGGGTTTTCCCACCTGACCTTAGCTGGGTCAGAAAGGAGGTGTATGTTACTACTTTGAGCAGGAACAAGAAAAGAGAGAGAGAGAGAGAGAGAGAGAGAGAGAGAGAAAGAGAGTGTGACTTATAATCTCAGGGTTCCACTTTGTTGGATCGACTTGATATACTCAGGGCCGCCAGGTAAGTTGTTGTATTTCTGGATAATCTCGCAGAGAGGGAGCTCGACGAAGTGTTCGGTGTCTTTGGATTCACTGAGCCTGAGCTGAAGTAGTCGAAGGCTTTGTGAGTTAAGGGGTTCAGGGTTTAGGGTTTGAGAGAGAGAGAGAGAGAGACAGAGAGAGAGAGAGAGTTTAGGGTCGCAGGGTTTATAGGGTTTGTAAGTTAAAGCTTTGAGGTTAAGATTCTATAGGACCAGTGGCTCCTCGAAGTACGGCTGAATCTCGATGGAGGGCATGTCCCGGTCGAGAAGATATGCCTTCAAGAATTGAAACCTCAGCTGCAACGAATCGAGAAGGCCACACAGTTGTGGATTGTTAAGGTTCAGGGTTCGGGGATGTTGGTTCGTACAGTTATAACATACACTGCTGCCTCGGGACTTCTCAGTTGGCGACACTGCCGCCTGCCATTGTTCAACCAGACCCTTGCGTAGTCCTGCCAGGGTTCAAGGTTTTAGGTTTAGGGTTTATAAGGGTGCATAAGACAGCTTGCAGTATATACGAAGGGGGGTAGGAACTCACAGGCTGGCCTCTGGCATTGTTCATTCGCCGGCGAAGGCCCTCGTTGAGGCGTTTCCGTTCGGCCAGGTCGATGTCCTCGGGTTTCTCCAGAGCCTCACGACATAATGCCCAATCTAGTTTTAAGAATTGTGAAGGTTCGGGTCCAGTGCAGTGTGAGCCACTTCAATCTGAGCCCTTTGTTCCTCTGTCAGCTTTCGAACCTCAGCGAGAGATGCCATGCAGGGGATTTATGTTTCTAATATGGTTTATATGCAGGGCACTAGAATGTAAGCCGAAAAACATCATTCGGGTTCCCTGGGAACATGAAGCCCGTTTTCTTGGGAGATTCCTGGTCAGCCCAAGAAGGTTCGGGCTCCTGGTCCTGGCTCTCTTCCGTAACATCACTGGCGCAGGACTGCCGCGTGAAGCTGCGGCGTGGCCTGCAGGTTCATGTGTGTCTCTGCAGCACAGATAGTGGTTTTCAGACGATTGATCGAACCAAGCGACTTCTTTGACTGGGGATCCTCCCACTGATCTGGCAGGCCTAGCAAGGAATGCAGGGTTCAAGGTTCGGGGTCTGGGGTTGTGGATCGCTAGGGAAGGGATCGGGCTCCCTTACAAGTTTGGACGCAGCAGACGAACCCCCGGAAATTCCAACATATGTTTCCAGGCCTTTCGACTGGCTTCCGCCCCTCGCAGCTTCCCAGGTTCTCTTTTCCGGTGCAACAGCACGACCTTCCCAGGAGGAGCCTCGGATCAATGCATCACAAACAATGCATGTGTATACGTACATATGCAACAGATATACAGTTTACATACATCATGAAAAAAAGGTACGAGCTATATTCTAGTTGAGCTAGGGATCTTGACGGGCCACGTTCCTCGGGACCCCACCACTGATCATTGTCGTCTCTGGAACCGAACAGGTCTTCCATGCCCTGTCTAGTGACCAGGCCAAACTTACCATCTGTGCCTTTGCCCCTTTACCGGCCCTTCTCAGTGCTTTCCTGGGCTTTTCCCTTGCCCTTCCCCTCGGTGCTTTCCTGACCTTTCTCTTTGCCCTTTTCCTTTCCTTTTCCCTTCTCCTGGCCCTTCTCCGTGCTTTCCTGGCCTTTCCCCTTGCCCTTGTCCTGGCCTTTCACCTTTCCTTTTCCCTTCTCCTGGCCCTTCTCGGGGTTCTCCTGGGCTTTCCCTTTGCCCTTGTCCTGGCCTTTTTCCTTTCCTTTTCCCTTCTCCTGGCCTTTCTCGGTGCTCTCCTGGGCCTTTCCTTTGCCCTTCTCCTGGCCTTTCACCTTTCCTTTTCCCTTCTCCTGGCCCTTCTCGGTGCTCCTTTGCCCTTTTCCTGGCCTTGTTCCTTTCCTTTTCCCTTCTCCTGGCCCTTCTCGGTGCTCTCCTGGGCTTTTACTTTGCCCTTCTCCTGGCCCTTTTCCTTTCCTTCTTCCTTCTCCTGGCCCTTCTCGGTGCTCTCCTGGGCTTTCCCTTTGCCCTTGTCTTGACCTTTCTCCTTTCCTTTCCCCTTCTCTTGGCCCTTCTCGGTGCTTTCCTGGCCTTTCACCTTTCCTTTCCCCTTTTCCTGGCCCTTCTCGGTGCCCTCCTGGGCTTTCCCTTTGCCCTTGTCTTGGCCTTTCTCCTTTCCTTTTCCCTTCTCTTGGCCCTTCTCGGTGCTTTCCTGGCCTTTCACCTTTCCTTTTCCCTTTTCCTGGCCCTTCTCGGTGCTTTCCTGTCCTTTCTCTTTGCCCTTTTCCTGGCCTTTCACCTTTCCTTTTCCCTTTTCTTGGCCCTTCTCGGTGCTTTCCTGGCCTTTCTCTTTGCCCTTTTGCTGGCCTTTCTCCTGTCCTTTCCCCTTTTCTTGGCCCTTCTCGGTGCTTTCCTGGCCTTTCCCCTTGCCCTTGTCCTGGCCTTTCACCTTTCCTTTTCCCTTTTCCTGGCCCTTCTCGGTGCTTTCCTGGCCTTTCTCTTTGCCCTTTTCCTTGCCTTTTTCCTTTCCTTTTCCCTTTTCCTGGCCCTTTTCGGTGCTTTCCTGGCCTTTCTCTCTGCCCTTTTCCTGGCCCTTGTCCTTTCCTTTCCCCTTTTCTTGGCCCTTCTCGGTGCTTTCCTGGCCTTTCCCCTTGCCCTTGTCCTGGCCTTTCACCTTTCCTTTTCCCTTCTCTTGGCCCTTCTCCGTACTTTCCTGGCCTTTTCCTTCGCCCTTTTCCTGGCCCTTCTCCTTTCCTTTTTCCTGGCCTTTCGCTTTTCCCTTTCCCTTGTGGTCCTTCTCGGTGCTTTCCTGGTCTTTTCCTTTGCCCTTCTCCTGGCCTTTCTCTTTTCCTTCTCCCTTTACTTGGCCCTTCGTGTTCCCTCCTGTGCCACAGGATTAATTAAGCGGTACAGGTATGCTTCGTTACAATAATAGATGTATACAGAGCATACAATGTACAATCTTTTTTTGGACTAAGCAACATGTTAACTTATTCCTGTATGTAGTGGTTATTTTAACACAATGTATCCACACCTGCGATGCGTGTGTGTGTGTTTTGTATACAGAAGCACTACCAAAAAAAATCCTGGCTGCCACCACTTGTTGGCTTCTGACCATCCATCATACATCTCTTGTTTGTCTTCGGCCGATCTGTTTCTATCGACCAGAGCAGGCTTTCCCATGGCTTGCAAGCGAGGATCAGAGTTTGAAACACAAAAGCACACTTACACTCTTCAATAAGGTTCATTGGGGGGGTCAACAAGAGACGTTCAGGGGCGATAATAAGAGACATTGGCGACCCAAGTAAGGTTCACTGGGAGCACATGTAAGAGACAGTGGTGCGATCTAGATAGCATGTGCACGTGCACGATCAAGTCGTGCACGAAAAACTTGAGACCTCCAAGCATCAAGAGATACACGCTGATACACGCCTACGTCTCTTATTAAGAGACAGTGACACGCAGATACACGGTGATACACGCCTCGGTCCCCGATGCTGAAAGTTCTGATTTTTTCAAGTCGTGCACGAATCTTTGAAGCCGGCAACCACCAGCCATCTTTTAGATACACTGGCATGACATGCGGACCCCTTCGGTGTTAGCGGAAGCAGCTTTCCTGACTTTATGTGTCCGTGCATGGTCCACATGAGATGCAGCCAAGCTCACCAAGCTCAGGATATATGGCCAGATCGAAACCGGCACTCGTCGATATCGCGATCTTCGTCCTGGAGAAGCAGATCAGCGGGCCAAGACACATAAAGTGGTCGCCTGGGATTTCACAAAAGTAAATAACAGATATAGTAGTAGTAGTAGTAGTAGTAGTAGTAGTAGTAGTAGTAGTAGTAGTAGTAGTAGTAGTAGTAGTAGTAGTAGTAGTAGTAGTAGTAGTAGTAGTAGTAGTAGTAGTAGTAGTAGTAGTAGTAGTAGTAGTAGTAGTAGTAGTAGTAGTAGTAGTAGTAGTAGTAGTAGTAGTAGTAGTAGTAGTAGTAGTACAGTAGTAGTAGTAGTAGTAGTAGTAGTAGTAGTAGTATAGTAGTAGAAGTATAGTAGAAGTAGTAGAAGTAGTAGAAGTAGTAGAAGTAGTAGAAGTAGTGGAAGTAGTAGAAGTATAGTAGTAGTAGTAGTAGTAGTAGTAGTAGTAGTAGTAGCAGTAGCAGTAGTAGTAGTAGTAGTATATTAAGTAGTAGTAGTAGTAGTAGTAGTAGTAGTAGTAGTAGTAGTAGTAGTAGTAGTAGTATAGTAGTAGTAGTAGTAGTAGTAGTAGTAGTAGTAGTAGTAGTAGTAGTAGTAGTAGAAGTAGAATTAGTAGTAGAAGTAGTAGAAGTAGTAGCAGAAGTAGTAGAAGTAGTAGAAGTAGTAGAAATAGTAGAAGTAGCAGTAGTAGTAGTAGTAGTATATAGAAGTAGTAGAAGTATAGAAGAAGTATAGTAGAGGTAATAGTAGTGGTAGTAGTAGTAGTAGTAGTAGTAGTAGTAGCTAGTAGTAGTAGTTAGTAGTAGTAGTAGTAGTAGTAGTAGTAGTAGTAGTAGTAGTAGTAGTATACCAGCATATAGTAGTAGTAGTAGTAGTATAGTAGTAGTAGTAGTAGTATATAGTAGTAGTAGTAGTAGTAGTAGTAGTCGTAGTAGTAGTAGTAGTAGTATATAGTAGTCGTAGTCGTATAGTAGTAGTAGTAGTAGTAGTAGTAGTAGCAGTAGTATTAGTAATAGTAGTAGTAGTAGTAGTAGTAGTAGTAGTAGTAGTAGTAGTAGTAGTAGTAGTAGTAGTTAGTAGTAGTGTAGTCAGTAGTATAGTAGTCATAGTTAGTAGTAGTAGTGAGTAGTAGTAGTGTAGTAGTAGTGTAGTTCGTAGTAGTATTAGTAGTAGTAGTAGTAGTAGTGTAGTAGTTAGTAGTATAGTAGTCGTAGTAGAGATAGTAGTTAGTTTAGTAAAGGTAGTTAGTAGTAGTAGTAGTAGTACTAGTACTAGTACTAGTACTAGTACTAGTACTAGTACTAGTACTAGTACTAGTACTAGTACTAGTACTAGTACTGCGTGGGGATTTGTTCGTGTTGTTGCCCGTATTGCTCACCCCACAGTGCTGTTGTATGAATAGTGTGGTTGCCCTTCGGGTACGCAATCACAACTGCTCCCTTCTCTCCCACTCTGGTCCCTTTGTCCCTGTGCAAGCAGATTCCGCGCAGCTTCCTTTTCCACTCTGCGGCCGGCAGTGTGAAGTCGGTGCACGGGACAAGGCTCTGATCTCGAGGAATCACAAAGAACGAAAAGCTTTCGCTATGGGCATATGCATTCTAGTGCATGTGCTCACACTTGAGCCAAAGTTGCGATTGGCGGAAGTCAGAAAAGACTGGTAAAGCACCACGGCGTGCGTAGCACTGCCGCTAGCTTAACCGGGAACGAGGGACGCGTAGCGTTCCCCCAATGTTGACCTATACATAGCCATGCTCACAGCTCTTATCGTGATACCATAGGATTTGACTAGGCATCGAAGTCCGTTCGCACCCCCCATGAGTTGCGTCTCCGACGCTGCTCACCGGAAATAGCGCGATAGGAACTCTAGAGATTAGTCCGCCGCAACTTTGAAGTTTGAAAATTAGAGCCTTCGGTCCCAATTAGAAATGATGTGACACTCCGCTACGTCAGTGACGATCCCCTGAAATGACAAACGAATCAGGCGTCACCAAAGAAGAAAGCAATCGCGATGAATCACATGGGCGATGCAAAGAGGTCACGTAGACGATCATATAGTAGCTCAGGTGTTATCCCTCCACCATTGGCGTGTGCGTTCGGGATTGTGCTCCCAGGGCCTGAGGTTTTCCTCGGGATATGGAGATCTGCCCTTCCCTTGGTTCCGTCCTCTGTTCCTCCCTTTGCCGGCGATGTAGTCATGGTAAGTGTTGGCATTCCAACCTCCATGTTCTTCACCTGCATTTGGTCGGGCATGAGGAGCAGCGCTGGAAGCGGCAGCACCTGATGATTCACCTGCGGTGACGGGTGTGTCCATGATGGACGTTTGTCCTTGCTGCAGATACTCCGATGGCAAAATATGTTGTAGAGCGTCAGGACGTCGTGCATTTGGATGTTGCTGTCTTTCGATCCGACTCTGCCGAAGCTTGTCCAAGAAGTGCGATGGCATCTGCACATTGTGGTCCACCAGTAAGGCGATGGTCTTCACCGAAATATCACTGTGCACCAAGAGAATCCCGACGGGATCGATGTACAGAAAGTCCACCGGACCGGTTGGCGTAGGTCGAAGAACAGAAAATTGTGAATACCTCGCCTGCATCAAGGTTTGGGGCATCATCCTCAGCGAGGCCTGGTGGAGCACCGGCTGGAGCGGGCACGGGTGCCTCTGAACCAGCTGGAGGTGCAGCATACTCGAAGCCAAGCTCACCGGGAGTGAGAACAGTTCGGTGCCCGAAAACTACACAGTCGAAAGGATGATTGGGTCGCGTCGTATCGATAACACGATCGAGCTTACCTTGCTCAAGCAGCTCAAGAGGCTCAGATAGCTCAAGCAGATGCCATGGTTCGGTCCCGGACTTCCGCACGATGGTGGTCCGGTAGCACAGCCCTTCGTACGGCTCAAGCATTGTGATGTCGGGAAATCGAGAAGTAAGCAACCGAAGCCCAAACACACCCGGAGTAACCTCAGACATATAGTCACAGGAGTCAAGGCATCGCAGCATGAAGGGACTAACAGTTACCTCAACATCCGAAGCAGACACAACCCGAATAACACCCCGGCACATCAAGCTGTTCTGTTCAAAGTGCAGTGGCACACATGCATCGCCGTCGGGCGACATCAGCTGCATGTCAACGATCCGCCACCCTCGGCGCAACAATTTTCCAACAGCGAAAATCGGCTGACTCACTGGGCTAATTACCCACGACTCGCGAAAGCTGGCGGTGCCGCTGTCAAGGACAGCCAACCTGGTACCGCGGGTGGTCATCGGGTGACCCTGAGCATCCTGAAGGGTGCGGCTGGCTCCACCGGGGAAGCCAATCTCACTCATGTTGTACGGGATGCAGCTTTCGTCAGCACAAGAATCAACGCAAATGTCGAGTTCGCGCTCGTGGCACACAGCTCGGACACTCGGCAAGGGGGCCTCAGCACAGTCCATGCAGTTGGAAGCCTTGGTCCACTCACCATCCTCGTCACTGTATGTGAGGTCGAAATGCAGCGGCTCAGGGGCCGTAACCACATCATCAACATGATCTGCACAAGTCATGTCGAACCACTCGGGACTGGAACATGTGGAAATCTTGCGAATGACAGCATGGCTAGAAGCGGATGGCACATCACAGTCAGGCGTGGTAAGATCAAATGCAATGCGGCGCACAGTGGCATTGGCACTGTTGTTGTCAGTAGATGAAGTGGCCTTGGAGTTGTCGTTGGATGTGGTGGCTTCAGCACCCTCAACCTGGCGCACATTGCCGGCTTTCTGATCAGCTTGAAGCTTACGGCATTCATTCTTGTAATGGCCCTTCTTCCAACAGTAATGACAAACCACGTCCTTCTTTGCAGCAGCTTGATTTGCACCCTTTGGGTTGCCTTTGCTGTCTTTCGCACCACCTTTGCCTTTGCCGTCCTTGTCCTTTCCTTTCCCTTTGTCTTTGCCTTTTCCGTCCTTTCCTTTTCCTTTGTCCTTGCCTTTGCCGTCCTTCCCTTTTCCTTTGTCCTTGTCCTTGCCCTTGATGCGCAAAGCATGACCCTCATCGACATCCATCGGTGTAGCACTGCTAGAAGTGATTCCGAGATCAGCGGCGACCTTGGTCGGAGTCCATCGAGTGGTGGACACTTCATACGAAATCATCAGAGCACGCACCTCCTGATAAGTGGTGGTAGGGGTCATGCGTAAATGCACATGTTGGGTCAAGTAATTAGGGCAGCATCGGACAAGTATCGACAGCAGAATGTCGTCGGGAACTTTGGAGCCGGACGCATCTTCGTAGGCATGCACAAGGCGTTCAAAAGAAGTGATTTGTTCAAGCAAAGTCTGGCCCTTGGTGGTAAATCGGCCTTGCTGCATGATCGCTGACAACATGGCCAACGAACGACTGCGAGTCTTAGGAGAGTATGTCGTGACCAACAACCTCCAAACTTCGTAACCATTACGATCTGTCACACTCCGAAGGATTCCAAGCGCACGACCTTTGAGCAAAGTGCTCAAGATTGTCCAGAGGCGCTTGCCTCGCAGCGCACATGCCTCAGGCATCCCTGTGATGGACGTTTGCTCGTCCAAGCGTTGCTCGACTTCACGAAGTTCGCTCTCGAACACAGGCTCTGCGAATTCAAGCCAGTTGCGAAATGACATGCTCCAAGAGAACCAAAGCCCACAATCCCTCTCAAAATCGTCTGACCCAAAGCCATCAGGATATTTCAAGACTTTATTTGCCAAAGTGTAATTACCCTCAAAGCTACCGCTGGCCTCTCGGGGCGCTGGGGCAGCAGCACTTGTCTGCGCTTGCTGGCCAACAACTGACGCAAGCTGGGCAACCACTTGGCTTAAGACCTGAAGATCAGCACTCACAGGAGCTTGGGATGTTACAGGCTGGGGCTGAGGTCCAAAAGGCATCTGAGGCATGCCAAAACCACTGGCCGGCGCGGCTTCAGAGCCCGCTGGAGGAGACTGCAATGGAGAGTCTGACACGGGAACATCATTGGGATTCATTGCGAAAATTGCGCAGCGATAAATCTGATTGGGCTCACACACTCCACCGGCACGGAATGGCTTAACCACTCCTACAAGCAGATGGGCTTTACAGGATACAGGAACTATACCAGACTTGTGGCGCGGGACCGCTGCACACAAGTGTTGTTAGAGGCCTAAAGTCAGGGGCAACCAGGCGTACACGGAAAACTGAAAAATTTGATCAAGAAAAACTGCACGTTCAAGAGCACTCAAGATCGATCACTTCCTGGCCAGAGCGAAGTTGCCTGAAGGATCGGGGCACTCGCCTGACCGGCTGGTATGACCTGACTTCCTCAGCTCGCAGCACTACCTCGTAGGAATACCGCAGAAACACTTCCAAAAGATGTGTGTCAAGTGCAAGCAGCTTACAGGCGTATGCAATGATCTCAGCTGCCACGTGCAATCGGTTAAGGCGATGCTGATGCAATTGCCTCAGCTGAACCTGCCTCTTGCCAAACGAGTACTCAGACAAAGATGGCGTACGAGGCTTCTGAAGTTGCAGCTCTGTGTAAAGCTCGATAGCACGTTCCCTCAAGGATCGAAGCTTCTCGCGGCTGTCCCAACACACAGACAGGCCTGACTCAGTGGTCTGAGCCGATGCTTCGGCTCTGCTATCTTGCGATATGGCGACAACCGGGAGCCTCACTACAGAGGGAGCCTTTCTACGACGTGGGGGCACTACGAGCTACAGCTACAGGCCTCGAAGGTCCAAAGAGCGCACTAGCGCTCCGCTACCATGAATGTTTTCCTTGATTCTTCAAACACCTACGAATGCACGGAATCAGCATATCATGCAAGGCGACATACAAACTACTTCACATGAAAATGTGCAAGCATGCAAAGCGGAAGATAAAATGGGAAAGATAAAAATCATTTCGATCCCACCCAAAACAAGAGGTACCCAGTGGGCACGTAAATCACAAACACCGGATCCACGCAGGGCCAGGTAGGCAGGCGAGCCGTGGCCAGTATGATTCTATCAGTGTCCGGCTCTGGGCAGAGTAGGAGGCCACCATCGTGCAGGGCTTCGCAGAAAGCTTGGGATTGGAGTAGGAAGTGGTCGGCTGAGAGGAAGAGCAGTGCTGAGGCTCCGGATGATCTTATGGCTTGCAGGAAGGCGCAGGCTTCCTCAACATGGGGGGCAAGGACTTCGAGATCTGCCAGCAATCCTAGGACCACCCGGGCCCATAGGGATTGGAGAAGTAGGCCGGGCAGTTGTTGTGGGTCTTCCTTGGAGAGGTCGATAACGCAGACGTTGGCATCTTGAGCTTGGCGCAAGCAGGAGGCTCCTATGGGTATGTGAGGGCTGACTGCTAGGGTCTTAAGGCTAGGGGTCGGACTAGGCTTTGTCGCCTGGCGACGGCTGATGGCTGTCCAAACCCTGTTAGCAAACTTCCTGCCCGAAGGGCCCCCCCCTGGGTTAGGAAGCGGGGTCTGCTGCGACCGGGAAGGCTGGCTAGGCGGAACGGGTGCTGTGGCTAAGGCTGGCGATGCATGAGCCTGTGCAGAAGCGGCTGCCGCGGATGGCTGAGCGGACACGGCGGAGTCTGCCTGCGCGTGAGGCTGGGAGGGCTGTTCTTCCGGCTGAGGGACTGTTGCTGGGCCTAGTCAGGAAGGCTTCTTATCGTGGTCGATGGCACAATGCTCCTTTCCACATCCGCGGACAGCACACAGGTGCGCGAACTTACAGTTCGGAATGGCACACAGATTGCGCTGGTAACGCTTGCACAGCACCTTCCCCTTGGCTTTAAGAACCCAATTAGAGGGCCAGGCTTCGGATTTTGAAGGACTGTCCGGCTTGTGAAGGCCTTTCCCCCGTCCTTTGCCCTTTCCCCCTTTCCCCGTGGCTCTGTCGTCCGCTTGTCCCGTAAGGCGGGTTCGCTTGCTTGGCGGGGGGGGAGGGTTCCCTCCGTTAGGTCTGCGGCCCTTGTCCCCCTGCTGTGTCGGCGGGGGCGAGGGCGTGGCTGGAGTAGGTTAGCTAGGTCGCTTCGTACGCTGGTCACTTCATAGAGGGCTTCATCAAGGCTCCACCCGGTAGTGACGAGGCTGGAAATGGTGCCCCAAATCTTTCGGTCGGCTGCCAGGAGCTCTTGGGTGGTAGGCCCTCGGAGAGAGGAGTCGGCTAGATCTGGGAGGGCAAGGTGCTCGACTCGCTTGTCGAAGGCTTTCAAATTGTTCAGGTGTGCGGCGCCGCACAGGGCCCACGCGTTCCTAAAGACTGTCTGGATGCGCTGAAGCCAAGACACCGATAGGCGCAGATGAGAGACGGCCATTTCTGGAGTATCATCATATATGGCTGATGCCAGCAATTGCGCCTCCGTTCGCAACGGCTTGGATGACTTGGCTTCCATAATTTCGGAATACTGTTTGGAGCTGAGGCGGAGTTGCCAGGGGATCCACTTAAGCTTTTCTCCTGGCTGAAGGCTGTGCTGAACCAGACTGAGTAGGCGGATGGAAGGCATGGTATCGTCGTCCAGAAGCTCTCCTGGATAGTTGGCTTTGAAGGTCGAGACCAGCTCCTGGACGACTTCCGAGCTGAGCTTAGGCGGGAGGTGTTCCATCCATGAGGAAGGGGACTGGGATGGGGCTATGGCTGCTGGAAGTGACGGCGGGGTGAAGGCAAGCGAGGGCTGAGGTGCTTCCTGGGCTTTATGCGCCGTGCGCAAGGCTTTCCTGGCTCTGGCAGACTGGACTGAGTGCAATGCGTCGGAGACACCCATATCACTGAGGTCTGATGCAGACAGACCTTGCAAGAAGGTATCGAAGCTGTTGAGATCGGGGTGTGCGAAGGCTAGGTCCTCCACGGTCTCCAGCCCCTTGAGGGCGAGACCGCTGCTAACTACCTCGTGGACCCGTTGGGTCTGCAGAAAAGCTGCCAGCTCAGATGGTTCTGGGGCTGCCATGCTGCGGGAAAACCCTGAACGAGGGGGCAAAACTGGGGAGCCAAATGGCTGCGGAGGCAGGCAGATCAACATCGGCTCCGGGAGGCAATGCAGGAGGCGCTGCGAGTTTTGGCTCCGGCGCTATGGCAGGGCGTCCAAGAGGCGTCGGCAGGCCGCTCTGCGGCAGAAGAAGGCTACATTGGGAGCGGATGGGGAGAAGGCTGCCGTGGAACGTAGAGTACCACAGGCCGCCTTGTCCGCTCCAAGTTGCTGTGCATGTATGGAGCCCCATGGCCCATTCTGGAAAAGCTTGATTTCGTGTAGCACTGGCTGGCGGCCGAGATCTTCCGAATCGGACGAGTCGTCCCTGGCTGACGCGAAGCTCTCGACTAGAAGGGCCTCAATGTCGTCGGCAGGTATCGTTGGCGGTAGAGTCTGGTCATCGGCCTCGTGCTGGGTGTCATCTGCAGATAAAGGCGGAGCTTGCGGCGGATTATCGTCCAGGAAGGCAGGCTGTGTGTCGTCGGGGGTGGCTTCGACTTCGATCTCTCGGGCATAAATGAAACGGCTCAATCCCTGGCCCAGAGCGGAAAGCTGGAATGTTACAGGCGGCAAAGAGGAGTGGACCTGGAACGGTGGCTCAATAGTCGGGTGCTGGCCGCCCCTGGCTATGGGCCGGGTAGGCCGCCAACCCGATGCGCAGGCTGACGTGACCTCAGTTTGTAGGGCTAATGCTCCGAGGGTATCGTCTCTGCCGTACAGCTGCACGCTAGGGCTCTTATGGTGCCCCTGCTGTTGTCGTATCTTGTCGGCTGCTTGTAGCTGAGCGCCGGCGCTGAGTAGGCAGACCTTGAGGCTATGCATTGTGAAGGCAGACGCCTCCTCGGGAGTGAGCAAATCTGGTGAGGAGCCCCCCAGATGTCGGCTTGTTGTGAAGTACCTGAGGCTCCCGAGTGCTTGACTGTAGGACATAGGCTGGTGGTACGCTGTGGCCGGCTTACCCGGGAAACCCCCTAGGTTATGCAGAGTAGGCAGAATGAAGTCTGGGCAGTTGCGGTTTCCGTATAACGCTTCTGTGCGCTCCCAGGCTATCTGTACCGCTCTTAGAAAGGGCAGCACCCAGAGGCTGGCCGGGTCTCTCCCGGAAATGCCATGCAGGCGCACCGCGAAAGGCTGACCCCGTTTGGTGGTTTTGGTATGCCAGCAGACTCCCCTGAGGCTATGGCCAGTAAGCGAAAGGCTTTTAAGGCTGATGCGCTGGAGGTCGCCGAAGCGAAGGCCGCCATGCAGGGCCAGCAAGAACCCCCCAAGGAGAAGGCATACCTCGAGAGGACAGTCCGCTTGGCATATGCGGCGCTCCCATGCGACAACCACTGCTAGAGGGAGCGGGAGCGCTTCCCTTCTGTCGGTCTCCGCTTGCGCCGCGAAGGAGCGGATAAGGCGGTCTGAGAGGATAGAGGACAGCTGTGGAAGGCCTGCCGTCTTCGCTAGCCAGGCTAGAGCTTTGAGCATGGGCTTAGGGCCTGTGCGACAAACCTCTCGATCTTCCTCTAGGCTTGATTGGCATGCCCATAGAGGTCCCCCAGATTGGCTACTGAGATAGAAGCTATGTCGAGGCTGTTCAGCACTATGTACTCCACGAACTGACGGCATGCGGCTAGATAGGTCTCGAGGGTCCCGGCTGTGAAGGGGCTGATACTCTGCATAAGCAGCTGCTGCGAGTACTTAGCTTCCTGAAGG